TTGATCCAGAACTGCAATATCCGCGCACTCTATCAGGACCATGCTGTTCTTATCAGTTCTCTTATTCATCATAGAGATCTAATCAGCGAACAGCATGAATCTATTCATCCATCAGGCTGGTCTATCAATCTGCGAAAACGACTATATGATTATCAGTATGAATCGACATATCTATCAATTATTATAATTTAAATTAGGATGCCCTTCAATTCAACACTGATTTAGAATACAATGTAAACACTGGTACTATCAGACTATCTACCCATCACTGCCATATTGCCATATGGGCAAATAGGAAAATAAAATAGTTTGTGTGTGTTTTTTTTTTATTTTAATTTTTTTTTTCTTTTTTCCCTTACCAATTAAGGTGTGTTTGGTCAATAGACTTTGTGTTTACAAATACAAAATCGTTAGGTATTATCAATGTATTTTTCTGTTAAAAAGTTTTTTGGTTTCTTTAAGACAAAACTGTAAAACACCATTTGTGACATCCACAATTGCCCTTTTCATTAGGAGATTGCTCTTAAACAATTTATCATTTCAAAAAGAGTTATAAAGTAAAAGTTTACTGATACTTTAAAATTGAAAATAATATAACTTCACTACTGAAAATACTATAGACATAAATTGAAATATGGTTTTCATGTCACACTCACCAAGAAGAGGGTTATATGGCGACATTCCAGCTTTACTGATGCAGGAAGACCTCGGGTTTTGTTTATTTGTTTGATTGGGTTTTACAGTGCACCGACACAGTAAAGGCCATATGGCGACGTTCCAGCTTTACTGGTGGAGGAAGAAGACCTCAGGTGCCCTTCTAGGCATTATTTCAGGCATGACTGATCACCTGAGTAGAACCACTGACATATTCCGTAAACCAAAACAAAAAAAGGAGCTGAATATTAATGGTATTGACCTTCACCGTAAGAAAACAGCTTCAAAGTCACTCAAAACTTAAGTAAAACACAACAATGAAATGATAGTGACCAGATGTGCATACAAAAAACAAAATAAAGTGTAGTCAACCACAATGGCATATCTGTCTGGGAACTGACACACCCGGCTAGCCCTGTAATAGAACTCTTGGCAATTCTGACATAAAACATGTTTTTTAGTCTCTTTTGTGGTTAAATCCAGGATCTCCAAGAATGTTCTAGATAAACATCTGCTGTCTTAGCATCATCATCACAACAATAGCAACAAAAGCACAAAAATTATTACAAACAAAAAGGCAGAATTGTTGAACTTCTATTATATAATCCACAGTCCACACTATAGATCAGTACTTCTTTTAAACAATGTAGATCAGTCTGAAATTGAAACATTTCCATTGGTCACTCAGATCCCCAACCAATCAATCAATTGCCTTCTTATGCCATCTTTTTGCAAGGGTGGGCCCCAAAACAACAATCATAATCCATGTGCGCATGTAAAGTTTCATTCAAAAGAAAAACTTATTAGTACATATTCAATTTTCACTTTTGTCATTTCATAAAAATATCACAAGATCATTTTTTGGTGTTTCATTAAAATACTGCTATGTATTTGTTTCAAATGGGGACAAATTCTTTGCCACCCAAAACATAAACTATCCATTTCACTGATTTGTACAGTATCAAAGTGTGACATTGTCACAGGGAGGGGTCAAATTGAACAGCTTCAAATAGCTTCAAGTGGACCCATTTTCTGTTATGGTCCTGCTTTTAAAGAGATTATAACAGTATAAATCTGTGTTAATACACTAAACACAAGATCGCCCTCAATCAGTGCTTTCAGCACTTTGATTTCAACCCCTTGGAACTTTTTCACTTAAGTGACTCATTGATTGAAGTCTAAATCAAACAAAAAACTTTAAATGTAATTAGAAAATTGCAAACTTTCTTCACTTTCCATGTGTCATTGATGATTTAATGCATGAACAAATAAATTTAAGTGAAAATAAACAATATGTAAATTTCACTTTTTTATAAACTTTTCAACAATTTAAAGTGCATAAATGCAATCATGAACATGTGTGACTCATTTTTCATAATTTGTGAAAAGAGGCAGTGAAACGTTGTCTTTAAACTTAATTAACAATAAAATCTTTTTTTTTGTTTTGTATCAGGGATGAATAATTTTTGTTGAATATATTTCAAATAGTACTGTATATCAATTTTAAAGTAAATTTATCAGCAGTTGTATAATAGTGGTTTAACATAAAAATTGATGTACGAATGTGGTATACATAATTATACAAACACAATAAGGAATTGTTTATCTAAACATTAAACAAATCTTTTTTTATATCAAACATAATTATATGTTTAAAAAAAATTATTATTAAACTGTGAAAAGAAATTATTATTCCATATTGAAAAGAAAAATGTCTGCAAGTAATTTTTCCAATTCATATTTTCAATGAAACAGAAGTCAGAAATTTTCAAACTTACTTTTAAAATGGTAATGTAGAGTGTAATTAAGGTGATTAACAAGATATAAAAACTGTAAAAATACAGTTTGAAATGTTTGTCACATGTCATAGAAGTTATGGGTTTATTTGTGACACCCTTACATTTTAGGCTTCGTACAAAACGTGCAAAAAAATTGTTTGAATAAGAATTCCATAACTGAGCTTGCACTCAATATCAAAACCACCGTATCATGTATTAAGAATCATTCTCAACGCATGCCTTGCATTGCGCATGCAAAAAAAAATTTAAAAAAAATTGCATAGTATTATAATTTGCTGACAGATGTATTTTTATATATAAATATGGCTTTTCACAAAAGCTAAGTATGGGCTCTAATTAGCTTAACATAAATCAAGAAAATCTGCACGGAATTCATCATTATTGTTTAAATGCATGCTTTATCTTCAAATGCTGTATACACCATGATTCGGCTGATATCACGTTGAAATAAACAGCAGTTAATGCGTCTGTCTTACTTTACTCCCACTGTGTCGTAAATTTCAAAAAATTAATTATTTTTTGCCAGTCATAATACACTATTGCAACGTAAACTCGAATACATATTTCATTTCAAAATATATTTCCATAAAAAAGAAATCATAATTTTTTCTCTCACTATATTGACCACAGGTGCGAAAAAAATATAAATGCGTTCAGTTGACACAAAGATGAAAATGCCATCGGGCCGTCGCGGACGGTGGGAACGGTGTATTTATTACTGAAGTTTGTAATTGAACACGCTGAAGATGGCCATTAGTAATAGGCTTCATAAAACATATTAACAGAATTCATAAATTAATTTAATGCGTCTTTTCACATTTGAAAACGAGATTAACTGCATCTTTACAATATTGATTTGTTACTATCGGATAGGGTATATTTCATTACAGACCCACTACGTCATTTTTTTATTCAATCTCGTACCACCTGCTGGTAATTTTTGTAACATTGAATATAATTGAAATGTAGTATTAAAAACATATCTCAATGTGCAAAACTCATGCTGTAATTACAAACCCTCGGCATGTCGGATAACAATATAAAGGAATGCATTGTTACGTCCCCCACTTAGTTTAATTTATAAATGAAAAGTTTAATCGGGGCTGCCTGGGTCTTTATAGAATTAGAAAAAAAACCACATTACAATTACTTATTTGTACATTGAAATTTTATTCCAAAGCCAATAATATTTTTTTTGTGTGCAATTAAAAAAAGCAAGAACAAACACGGATATATTATTAAATTGTTATAGCAGTAACCTGAAGTTACTAATGAGATAGGTATGACGTTTTTTGTAACAGTATCAAACAGTTTAAGTTTTTTTTTTCTTTAATAAATACCTTCCTTATACTGACTGTGCTAAATCTATTTCAGTTCGGAATTATTAAAATTTATATATAAGCGGACCCTGGGTTATAGACTTATCCGCTGCTTTAAAAATTGAAACTCTTCATTCTTCACCCTTACCCTGCTAGAATCTAAAGTGATTTTAGCCTTTGCCACCAGTAAGAACCAGTCACATTCATGCAGTCTAACTAGGTTCTAGACCTTCAAATTTTTCGATTTGATCCCCTATTTTCATCCCTTAAATGGTATAATAATTGACAGTTTCAAAAATGGGAACTAAAGGGTGAACTGAAGATATTTTATTATCAAAATATACTAATATTGAGAAGTACACTGTAGAGTCTTTAGAGACGACATTTGAGCTGCGCCATGACAAAACCAAAATAATGGGTTTTGCGACCAGCATGGATCCAGACCAGCCTGCGCATCCGCACAGTCTGATCAGGATCCATGCTGTTCGCTATCACTTTCTCTACTTGTTATAGGGTTTGTAAGCGAACAGCATGGATCCAGACCAGCCTGCGCATCCGCGCAGTCTGATCAGGATCCATGCTGGTAGCAAACGCACTATGTTGGTTTTGTCATGGCACGGCTCATTTAATGAATCAACACTGGTGTAAGACATTGGCAAGAAAGACATGAAACATTCAAAGAATTTACAAGTTTGCTTTTGAATAATTTTTTTTCATTTGGAACACCTTCAATGATAAATTTCTTTCAATTTTAATTTCACATGGTTTTATCAAACTACTTTAGTTTACCCATTACTATGGCAATAAAAAGATGATATTTTCAGTATTATTTCAGCTATAAAATGATGAAATCAATTTCATATTGCTTCAACATTTACCTTAAATATTTGTAATGAGTTGAACACAATTATTATTTTTACTCAATTGTAATGACAGCTGAACCAAAAATGTGTTAAAATGGGCGTAACAAAAAGGGGAAGCATAATTTTCTAACTTATGTCTGTATTCTTGGAACACTTTTTTTTGTATAATTAAATGAGAAAACATGGATCAAACCGATAATCCTAGCGTGTGCAACTTATCTCTAAACCAGTTACATGTATTGCATTGAAAATCTGTCAGTTTCAATAGCATTTTTTTCCATTAATAGCACACCCTTTTGGTATCATGATAAAGTTTGTTTACTACCATCCTACAATGAAATTGTGATAAACAAAAAATGACATACCTTCTGAAATACCAGCAGAATCTGAAGATTTTTCATGGTTTTCATCATTATTTTTGTGGTTGCTATGACTATGGTTGTTATGATGATGTCCTTGGTTGCTATGGTGATGACCCTGGTTGCTGTGGTGGTGATTTTGACCAGAAGCACTAGTGAGAGTGAAAACCTGCAAAGAAAGATCAATAAAAAAAAATTTAACAAAATGTAATAATCACATCTTTTCTTATCATAACCTTGACAACAGATGAGCATCGCCAGTTTTCTTTTCTTCTACATTTTGGAAAATTTAACCTATTAAAAAACTGTAATAGAACATAATCATTAGTAAAAAGTATAAAGTTTTTACAAAAAAAGTATAACCCTGATACAAATAATGACAATCACATGAATAAGGCTAGCAGTTTAACTATACTGCATACTGATAAATTTTATTAATTTTGATATTTTTACAATCTTTACCACACTAAATATCCAAAATGGACTTATCCATATGCAAAACCATTTAAAATTTTAGGGAATATTTTAAAGGATAAATAGCAAACTGAGCATGGATGTGCGGCCGATCTTGCTGTAGTTGTGCTGGTTTGGGTAGAGAACTTGTTGCCACTAAGGATTAAACTAACAAAATAACAATTTACTCTTCTGACCTCAAAGCAGGACAAGCCAAATTCACCAGATTGATGACATAAACAAATTTCTCCACTGTTTTAAACAATATATGCCAGTGCAGGCAATATCCAGGAGAAAAATGATGTAAATCTATTTAGAATACTAGAACACTTGTTAAATCATTGAAACACCCCTGTAACACACTGATATAAATATCAAATGGTGCCACTTCAGGTAATATCAGTCTGTATACTCTTACAACTAATTTATAACCCAACAAAAATATTCTGAGGGAAGCCATATTGTTTTTGATTAGCATTTATTTATATATGATTTCCTGAACATAGTTGAAATATTGGTGTATTTCATTCTTTTATCTAAATCTCCTGGGATTGTGTTAAAGATAAAGTATCACCATAAAAATATAAGACGGAGGAAAAACAATGCCATAACTATATATATTTGATGTAAGAAATGTTAACGCTGATTGAAATCTTTGTCAGAAATTCAAACTTTTTAACTCATAGACTGTTGATGGCAACTGAATTTACCCATGTGACCAGGGCAGACCATGTGACCAGTGCAGACCAACCTATGTGACCAGGGCAGCACAACCCATGTGACCAGGTCAGATCAACCCATGTGACCAGTGCAGACCAACCTATGTGACCAGGGCAGCACAACCCATGTGACCAGTGTCAGACCAACCCATGTGACCAGGGCAGATCAACCTATGTGACCAGTGCATACCAACCCATGTGACCAGGGCAGATCAACCTATGTGACCAGTGCATACCAACCCACATGACCAGGGCAGATCAACCTATGTGACCAGTGCAGATCAACCCATGTGACCAGGGCAGATCAACCTATGTGACCAGCGCATACCAACCCACGTGGCCAGGGCAGATCAACCTATGTGACCAGTGCAGATCAACCCATGTGACCAGGGCAGATCAACCTATGTGACCAGTGCATACCAACCCATGTGACCAGGGCATACCAACCCATGTGACCAGTGCATACCAACCCATGTGACCAGGGCAGATCAACCTATGTGACCAGTGCAGATCAAACAATGTGACCAACCCATGTGACCAGTGCAGACAAACCCATGTGACCAGGGCAGGCAACCCATGTGGCCAGGGCAGACCAACTCATGTGATGAGTGCAGACCAACCTATGTGACCAGGGCAGATCAACCTATGTGACCAGTGCAGACCACAGATCAGCCTGCACTTCCATGCCATTTGATCATGGTCTGTAAAACTATAATATTTGTGTTGAATATTTTTTTCCTTTATAGAATAATTATTTTTCATGAAAATCAGGTCATAAAATATATCATCGTAAAACTCTTACATTTTAAGATTTTTCAAATCAATATGTGAAGCTAACAACTGAATTATCTCCCTTCGTATGCACTTTCGTACTTAATGAATTGCAGCAATTATATTGTCTATAAAAATTTGTTTCAGTTGGTAAGCTCTACTTTCTATCACCTTAAATCATTTCAATATATGTTTCCGATGATTTCTGCACTGTTACCGCGATCAATCAATTTGCTTGTCACGGTTTAATCACTGACAAAGCAGTTAAAAGTTTAAAAGTAAACAATACATTTCAATCACAATACAATTTTTAGGTTTTAAAACATCCATTTAATGTCTGTCAAAATTGAAAACTAACTGTCATACCTATAAATCATGTGCTGAGAAATGACACAACAAACTCTAACAGTTCAAGGTCTTCAAATTTCAATATAGTTTCAAATAGACACAGAATAGATTTTAGAGAAGAAAAAAAAATGACAACACAACACAACAACAAATTTGAAACGATGATATAAATAATGTTTCACAGCATACAGTATGACAGCTGCACCGGGAACAAAGTATCGTTTCTGGGTGACCAGGGACGTACGTTTCGATACTTCATAAAATTTGCTCCGTCACAGGATGACATTGACTAAAGTCGTAACGGTGTCAACCAAGAACACATCCCGCTTGTGTTCAACGGAGAACGTCAGACGTTTTTATATGCAAAAGATGTAGACGAAACCGGAGCTTTATCAGCCTATTCATTTACCGAGAGACACTATGACAACATCAGTAATAACAAAATGAAATACTATCCGGATGAAAATAAATCATAAAATTGCATCATAAATGATGTACCCTTAATATGGCTTAAACTTGAAAACCATAAATGTTTGCGAATAAGATGTCCGTTAAATTAATACTTGTGTGATGATAATCCCACCAAGGGTGAATATTAAAGTGCAATTATTATACTGTCAATGCCAAATGCAGTAATGCCAGGTTTAAGTGGACGAGGAAGAAAGCAGCAGTGCACATTCAGGCACCTTTAATGGTCTTTAAATTGTTGACGGCTCAATTCTCGTACTTTGCTATGCACAAATGAATGCTTATTATTATCTTACATAATGACCATACAAGAAATTTCATTACGATTGTTCCTCGTATTGAAAGAAAAAGAGCAGAGTTGTCAAAATTAATTAGGCAATAAATCTGTAATTAACAATTGTTTTTTTATAAATTTCCATATAACCAAAGTTGATTTAAGTCTTAGCTACAGTCCAGAGCTAGCTAGGTTAACCTATACATCAATACAGTCTGTCCGGGCCCTTTATTGTTTCCTGACTGATAAAAATTTTGTACACCCCTTTAAATTTTTCTTAACCGGAATTTTTAAGTGTTACTTGGATTTATGAACATCCCTCAATATGTTATAAGAATGTCTGATCATTTTCAAACATGCTAACTCATTCATCATTCGTTGACTTTTACGATTAAAAGTTTTACAAAAATTAGTTATATCTGTAATTAATAACGTGATGGCAGTTGGGATGGCAGTTGGATTTCTGTTGTAAAGGATGCCATGGGAAAGGTCCACACTTTATACTGTACCATCATGCAAAGTTTCAAATTCAAACACGTTTATTTTAATATGAACTTAATACTAGTTTGCTCTCATGTTTCAAGATAATGAGAATTAAAAAGTAATTAAGAAATAACCCGTCCATCAAGTTGAAACTGGCAGTAGTAAAACTGTAATGTAGTAAAAATGGTCAACAGACGTTAAAACTGTTAATTTTGTCTGTCGTGAAAAATTGACGATTTAAAGTTGAAGAGACGTTAAAATTATTAATTTTGTCTGTCTGTCGTGAAAAATTGTAGATTAAAAGTTGATGAGATTATCAGAATTGAAATTTTAAATAATACTTAGCATATATTACATCACCATAGTGCTGGGTAATGGGTTAAGTCCTATTTAATTATTTAAGGAGTTAACCCGTTACTGCACTAAGGTAACGAATTATGTGTTCAGCAGATGGTAAATAGTTACGCAATGAAATACAATAAACAGACAATAAGAAGAATTATTGGCAGACGTAAAAATTGAACGATTGCAGACGTCAAATTTTAATACCATGAGAAAATATTAGCAGACACATATTTTACCAGCAGACAGAAAATTGAAAAAAAAAATGGACAGCAACTTAAGATGTGAAATGGTCAGCACGTACACTACATATTTTCCAAACTAATGACCAAGCAGTTGACCTTTAATATTGCCGTGTATATTATTTACTTTCAGTTTAAAAGGATAATACGGATTAGGAGAAATCCTTATATTGCCTCTAATTCAAATCCACTCCAAGCAAACAAATATTACTAATTTACCTTTCTAACTTCCTTTGAACATAGCTCGGTCAAACAAATTTGTATTGCATTATAGATTTAGGTATAAAATAGATTTCAAAGCTATATCTAGAGATGTTATATAACAATATTTGTACTGTTTCATTTATAGAAATTTACCCATGAGAAATTTTCAATTTATTTTACTATGGTAAGAAACTAAAAGCTCTTATGAATAAAAAGAAATATAATACAAAAAAGTGTTCTTTTTAATCTTTAAAATAAAAATTCAATGATTCCCCACCCCAGCCCATTGAATGGTAGAATGTGCAAATCCCTTACAATTGTCTGCTGGTGACAACTTAAAATTTACCCCTGCAACCAGTGCAGACCTTTGAAGGTCAGTCGCGGTCAACACTATTTGCTATTCAGTCAGTACTTGCTTCGAAATTTTCCCAAAAACTGAGGGTTTTGTCTAGAGTGAAAGATGGGCAAGTCAATTTATTGTATCAAGCATGGCAATGATAATAAAATCTCTTGCATTTGTACATAACTTATTAATATGACAATTAAGAACAGCAGGGGAAGTCTGTGCCAAACTGAACCTCTGTCATTGGTCAATCTCAAGTACCTGCTCAAGAAACAGTTCATCAGAATCTAGATATTTCCCATTCCCAAATCTTCTATCTTGTCTTTTTTTTAAAAAACAAACATTATGACTAGAACTCCGCTGTGCATCAAGAAATAGTACAAAAAGTGCAATTTTAATTACCCAACATGCAGAATGTAAAGTTCTTTAATGATATACAGGTGTCTTTAAGACCGCCCCCTGCAATTTGCATATCTTCCCCTATAATACATTACATAAGATAGCATCAATATGACAGGTGAA